AGTAAGTGGCTCGGACAGCGCAGCCTTGCGGACTGTGTCGGAATTCGCAACCAGATTACTTGCGGGGCGACCTGCCATGACATCTGGTTACATCCCGACCAGAAAGGGAATGCTCCAGGTGACACGTGCGAGCCGACTGTCCTCTAGAGTAAATTCAGCTCTTCGATACTTCATCAGGAACTTCTTTCGCATCGAGAACGTAGCCTCTGTCGGGCTAGCTCAGAGTATTCACGGGCTACCTCCGGTGGTTTATGCTGACAGTTGTTCATTGGCGCACTATGACAACGACGTGGGCCAAGGCATCCACCATTACGAAGCCGAAGGCATTGCCCCCAACACATGCGACATAACTGGATCAGCACATTCTAGGGCCATCCAGTGCCTGAAATCCACCGAGCCTCAAGGGGGCTTCGACCAGGGTTTGGCGAAGCTTAAAGAACTGGCTGACGCATCGACACAAGGCAACGACGCCAGAGAAGCTCAGGAGCCGAACCGCCGCACGAAGACGGACGGCTTCCCATTATTTAGGAGAAATCAGAAACCGACCTCGAGGCACATACTATGGAGGTGCGGTATACAGAGAATTTCTGTATACCACAAAATTCCGACATGCAGGAGGAAAGAGAACCGCTGGAGGCAATTCCCAATATGCGACTTCTGCACTGTACCCACACAGATGATCATCGACAGCAGTGCGCTGGTCACAGTGGCTGAAGAGCAGCGGGGGCACCTGCCTGCGTGGGCTAACCCGCGTGATATAGACGCGGAGACGCGTCATGTTTCGTTGTGCTCCGCGGGCGAAGATGACAGTTATGGATTGGGCTCTGACGAGCGCGGACAACGCGTGGAACTCTGCTTCGCTGCTGACATGTCAAAGGTAGTCCTATCCGAGCAACGGCGCGGGATGCTGGACTTCGACCGCGTGGCCACTATGCGAGTACGTGTGGCCGCTGCAGCTAAACGAGCTGCGGCCGTTAAGGAGGGCGAGCTCCTCGCGAAAGCAGGCGCCCAGGCGAATCCAGTCAAGCTATTTATAGGCATGCGTGTTGTTCTCAAGTAATGGCGTGGCAACGAGTGCTTCATGATGCAAGATCTAGCAGAGGCGTCAAACATCATGACTCCGGTCTGCGTGTATATGTTGACATTTGTCAAGAACGAGAAGGGCGATATGGAGCGTGCCATCGGACTGCGCTTGGTACTTCGTGGGTTCATGGGCCTCGAAGCTTTCGATGCGGAGACCTTCTCAGGAATGGCGCGGCGGCCGAGTCAGGCATTGCTCGCGAGCGCGGCAGCGTGCAAGAAGCAATCTATCATTGCGTCCCTGGGCGTCAGCATTGATTTCCTGAACGGACTCACCACTCATTAGGGACATGCGGAAGCAACGGGTGAAAAGGAACGCGTGGTGTGTTTTGCACTGCCCCTTCCAGGATTTGAGCACTACGATGAGTCGATGCACTGCTTGGATCGCCCCAGACCAGGCACCGGCACCAAGGACGCACCAAAGAGCCTTTTAACTGAAGCTCAGAGAGACCACGAGAGGGTTTGGTCTCAAACCCACGTCCTACGATGAGGATTTCGAGACAAGCTCTAACCTTTTTTCAGCCAGACATGTCGGTGACATGAACATGGCCGGTACTGAGGACACTATCGACAGCTGCGTCAAGTGTGTTGAGGGCACTTGCGGTAAATGCATACTCAACAAGCACGCGTGTACCAATTGTTCTTTGAAGCGGTGACGTCACATTTGGTCAAGACGAATCTGCAAAACAGCTCCGTCCTATACGACGTCCTGAACTCACTGGCGCAGACGCTGACGCCGAGGGTTCGAAGATGGTCACTGACATGTTCGTCAGCCTCAGAGGCGCCCTTGCTTATGCCCCAATTTCGCAGGCGTGGATAATGGTATATGTTGTATCCCTACAGCGTGTCCAAGAACGGGCCGGCGCGCACGTGCGACGACCGAGCGCGATTACCAGAAAATTGCAGGCATGCCTTGGGGAGATCGTCTACCAAGCGGTGACTCCAACGGGTGAGGTCGACCTGCGCGGCGACTCCGGTTACCGGCGCCCATGCGGAGATGCCGTGGGCGGGGTCGAAGGCCATGGTATTCGCGGGGCAAACTTGCTACGGCGCGGACTCGAGCATGCTGGTAATCCCGTCGTGCATCTTGTTGACGCGTAGTGCAAGTCTCATCGCTTGCAGGTCCGTGCGAGCTATTCAGCGGAAGCACTTGCAGCGGCCCACATCTCGGCGGACTGCTATCCCACGATTGCCACTTTGCGCGAACTCCGCGCAGGGCCGCTGAGATCGAGCCAGTTGAAGTCGAAAGATCTACTTGAGATGGGTGGCCTTAGCATTAAGGTCACTTTGGCCATCGATGCAGAATCTGTCTTCAAGTCCTTGTCAAGCAAAGACCTGAAGCACTGACAGAGTGTGCGCTTTTGGGGCGCATCAGTCGGATACGACAGATGATGGAGCGAGGTGTCGTGCATTGTGCAGTGGCGTGGCACTCGCGACATGACCGCGGATGGTCACACCAAAGGGAGCACCGAGAGAGACATACTCCTACCGGTCATGGAGGAACGCAACCCTTCAAGCATGACTTAAAACGACACACTCCGTACAGGGCTGGCCAGACAAGATCGTCTGAACCGCCTCGGGGGGAATCGTCTTCAAGGTGACTTGCCTGCGTTGCAACTTGCTTACAAGGTTACTTGCGTGCGGGTCGGCCTTCCTTGTTGAGCCCGCCTGCTGCTGCGGCTTCCTACCTTGTGTATATCCCCAATCAGAGTTTGCCTCTGTAGGGGTCCTAGCGGATTAAAGGCTTAGGTGAGGTTTGTCGCCGATTTCGGTGGCCGGGCCCGGGTGCCCGGGTGCCCGGCGGTGCCCGGGTGCCCGGGTGGCTGGTGCGAGGTGCGTGGCCGATTTCGGTGGCCGGGCCCGGGTGCCCGGGTGCCCGGGTGCCCGGGGGTGCCCGGGTGCCCGGGGGTGCTCAATAGCCCAATAGCCCAGTGGCCTTGTAGCCCTATAGCCCTATAGCCCTGCGGCCGTATAGCACTATGGCCCTATAGCCCTAGAGCCATAGAGCCCTCCCTATCTATAGAGCCCTAGAGCCCTATAGCCCTATAGCTCTATAGCCCTATAGCCCTATAGCCCTAAGGTTCTATAGCCCCATATAGCCCAATAGCCCAATAGCCCTATATCACTATACCCTATAGCCATATAGTCCATGTAGCCCCATTGCCCCAACAAAAATATGATTGGGTTTTTCTCCGGTATCATTAGTGTTTTACTGTATAGCAGGCGGCGGACTCACGCCTCAACTCCTCCCCCCCGATTCTAAAGGAGGCTGGGGCAAAGGCGAGAGATAGCGAGCGTTTCTCCGCGGCCGTTTGTGCGCCAGCGGCGGGCCGCCAATATATGACCCTGCCTCATCGCGAGGCACACTACTTGCCATTGAGACCCGAAACATCTTCGCTTGACATGGCCCGTGTTTCCCGCGATGATCTCCTACTTTTGGGACTACGTTACTACGGTACAATAGAGTTGGATATGGGCCTCGCCTTCGGCGAAGCGTATGGTTGGGCCTCCCAACCCCTTTCAAACTGCGGGAGGGGGCGCGAGCCGACTTCTGGGCCCCCCAGGTCCCCAGCTGCAGGTGGCAGAAAAGGTGACGTCGAGGCTCGAGGCATGGGCTCGGCGGCGGGGCGGAAACTTCGTGAGGAGGAGGTAGAACGAGGACGACGAGGAGGACGAGAAGGACAAGGAGGAAAAGGAGGAGGAGGGGGAGGAGGAGCAAGAGGAGCAGGAACAGGAGGAGGAGGAGGAAAACGAGGAGGAGGAGGAGGGGGAGGAAAAGGAGGAGGAGGAGGAGGAGGATGAGGACCAGTGTATATCCAAAAGCCATCAACGATGTTGGAATTAATCCTCCCTCCAAGTTCCCTCTCTATAAGCCCCTACAACGGTTCATTTCATCGAGGGAACTTCCTCGTTGGAAAACGACCGTTTGAAGGACCTGAAGCATGCCAAAACATTGTTCTCGGGACTTCAACGCCGCAGATCAACCTGACTGCTGCTTGACGATCCGGAATCGTGCTTGAATGCAATTTTTTGGGATTTCGACACTGCGAGTCAACATAATTGTTGCGCCCGCATAATCCTGAATCCTTCCACAACACAGTTTCTGGTACCTTCGTCATGGGAATTCGTCAACATCTTGCACATTTGAAAACGAATGTGCGCGGCGCTGGGGCGAGAACCGCATTTTGAAAGGAACCGCCTTCAATCCGTGAAACGCTTGCAAATGTGGACAGCGAATGTGCGCGGCGCTCTGGCGACAGCCACATTTTGAAAGCGACCCGCCCTCCATCGGTCAAACTCTTGCACATTTTTCGAACGAAAACTCTTGCATTTGTTTGGAACTAGTGTGCGCTGCGCTCAGGCGGGAGCCACATTGGGAAAACCACCCGCCCTCAATCCGTGAAGCTCTTGCAGTTTTTTCAAACGAATGTGCGCGGCGCTAAGGGTCGAGCCACATTTTCAAAACGACCCGCCGTCAATCCGTAAGGCTCTGGCAATTTTTGGAAGACGAATGTGCGCGGCGCTAATGCGAGAGTAGCTCTTGCAATTTTGTCAAACGAATGTGCGCGGCGCTAATGCGAGAGCCACATTTTGAAAACCACCCGCCCTCATCTGTGAACCTGTTGCCACTTTTTAAGCCTCAGGGTCATATGTGGTGAGGGAATCTCAGGCGAAACGGCTGGCCCGCCCAAAAACTGGCTTCGGGGTGCGACAGGGAGAAATTATGTATAAAGACAAGGAATGAAGGAGAAGGGGGAGGAGGAATGGAGGAGGAAGAGGAGGAGGAAGAGGAGGAGGAGGAGGAGGAGGAGGAGGAGGAGGAGGAGGAGGAGGAGGAGGAATGAAGGAGAAGGGGAGGAGGAATGGAGGAGGAGGAGGAGGAGGAGGAGGAGGAGGAGGAGGAGGAGGAGGAGGAGGAGGAACCCCCTCGTGCTCAGACCCCTGGGGGTGGTGCCCGGACGGGGCGCGCGGCCCCGTTCTTCGCGGCCGGCGGAGAGGCCGCCGGCCTGCCATTTTCACGCGGCGCTCCACGGGGCGGCCCGCGTCTCGCCATCGCCGTTGGCGCCAGCCGTGTGTAAAAAGTTTCGCGCGCGATCGACCGCGGATCGGCTGGCCAGGAAAGCACTCTGCCGGGCGGCGTGCGGCGGACGGCGGCTCCCGCCTTCCCCTGCTTCCTTTTCCGCTCCCGTCCTGGCACTTTCTGACCGGCGTCGCTGCCCCCCTCTTCCTCCTCATCCTCCTCTTCCTCCGCTCCTTCCTTCCTTCCTCCTCCTCCGCCTCCTCCTCCCTCCTCCGCCTCCTCCTTCCCGCCCTTTCCTTCCCACCTCCCCCTCACCCTTCTCCTCCTCCCCCTCCTCCTCCTCTTCCTCCTCCTCCTCTTTCCACCCCGTCCTCCACCTCTACTTGCGCGCGTTCGCGCTCTCGAGCGCGCGGGAGCACACGGGCGAGGGCAATGAGGAGCAATGAGGAGCAAGAGGATCAACCGAACATGAAGAGGGGGGGAGGGCCGTCAGGAAGGAGAAGAAGAAGAGGAGGGGAGAATGAGGAGGAGGAGTTGGATGATGATGATGCTGATGATGATGATGATGATGATGATGATAATGATGATTATGCTGATCATGATGATGTTGCTGACGACGATGATGCTGATGATGCTGCAGATGATGATTATGCTAACTATGATGATGATGATGATGATGATGCTGATGATGATGCTTATGATGATGATGAGGGTGAAGATTATGCTGACGATAATGATGACGACGTCTACGACGATGCTGATGATGATGCTGCTGATGATGATTATGCTGACGATGATGATGCTGATGATGATGCTTATGATGATGATGCTGATGATGATTATGCTGACGATGATGATGACAACGTCTACGATGATGCTGATGATGATGCTTATGATGATGATGATGATGATGATGATGATGATGATGATGATGATGATGATGAGAATGATGATGATGATGATGATGGTGGTGGTGGTGGTGGTGGTGATGATGATGATGATGATGATGATGATTGATGATGGTGCAGGTAATGATGATGCCGCTGATGATGATGCTGATGAGGGTGATGCGGATGATGATGACGCTGATGATGACGATGATGCTGATGCTGATTCTCATGATGCTGCTGATGATGATGACGATGATGATACTGATAATGAAAATGACAATGCTGTTGCTGTTGGTGATGACAATTCTGAAGGTGATGGTGATGCTGGTGATGCTGGTGATGCTGATGCTGATGATGATGATGATGATGATGATGATGATGATGCTGATGATGATGATGACGCTGATGATGATGATGATGATGATGACGATGATGATGATGATGATGATGATGATGATGATGATGATGATGATGATGATGATGATGATGGTGGTGGTGGTGGTGGTGGTGGTTGTGGTGGTGGTGGTGGTGATGCGTCGCGGACGACTCTGATGCGTCGCCGATGCATCGACGATTCTTTGCAGATGCATCGCCTATGTTTTGCCGATGCGGCGTGATCCTCCGATCCCATCTACTCGGACCCCATCTGGGAGGCCTCCAGCCTGGTCAATCACTTTCCCGTCGTCATTTTTCACGACGTCCTTAGCTCTCAGGAGGACAGGGAGGGCGGCCTGGGTAGTATCTCGGAGGTCCTGCCAGGCCAGGATGTTGAAGGGAATCCGATCGTGGCGACGAGAAGGCTCCCATAGGCACAACACGAGCGGAACTTCTTGATTATTCCAAACCTTCCTGCGCTGGGGTCTCGTTTTGAATATGTGGAAAACTGCGGTCGCACACTTCTCCTCCCGCCTCCCTCCTCCTCTCTCCCTCCTGCCTCTTACTTCGCCCTCGTGCCTCCTACCCGCCTGCCAGCTTGCCTCCTACCTCGCCGTGCTACGTGACCTCGCCATCCCTGGGGGGATGCGAACAACGGTACGGTCAACACTTTCGAGGTCTGCTGGGGGGTCCAGAGGAGTCACGCCTTATGCAGACCTGCATTCGACCTCGCCATCCCTGGGGGGCTGCGAACTGTGCAACTATTGACACTTTTGAGGGCTGCTGAGGAGTCCAGCGGGGAGTGATGTTTCACGCGAACCTAAATCAGACCTCGCCGTCCCTGGGGGGGCTGCGAACTGCGAAACCGTCGACACTTTTGAGGTCTGCTTGGGGTCCAGAGGAGTCACGCCTTACGCAGACCTATATTCGAACTCGCCATCCCTGGGGGCGCTGCGAACTGCGACACCGTTGCCGTTTTCAAGGGCTGCTGGGGGGCCCAGCGAAGTGACATCATACAGAGACCTAACTACGACCTCGCCATCCTTTTGGGGGGCTGCGAGCTGCGACATCGTCGACGCTTTCGAGTGCTGCTGGGGGTCCAGAAGATAGATGTCTCACGCTGACCTAGCTTAGACCTCGCCATCCCTTGGGGGCTGCGAACTGCGAAACTGTCGCCACTTTCGAGAGCTACTGAGGGCCCAGCGCGGAATCACAGAAAACCTCGCCATCCTTATGGGGGGCTGCGAATTGCGAAACCGGCGCCCCTTTCGAGGGCTGTTGGGGGGGTCCAGCGGAGTGACGTGTTACGCAGACCCAAATTTGACCTCGCATGACTAGGGGGCTGCGAATTGCGAAGCCGTCGACACTTTCGAGTGATACTGGGAGGCTCAGCGGAGTGATGTCTTTCGCAGACCTACATTTTACCTCGCCATCCCTTGGGGGGCTGCGAATTGCGAAACGTTCGCCACTTTCGGGGGCTGCTGGGGGGTCCAGTGGAGTCACGCCCCACGCAGACCTAAATTAGACTTCGCCCTCCCTGGGGGCGCTGCGAACTGCGAAACCGTCGCCACTTTCGAGTCCTCATGGGGTGCTGCGAACTGCGAAGCCACCGTCGCCACTTTCGAGGGCTGCTGGGGGGTCCAGCGCAGCGACGTCTTACGCAGACTCATATTAGACCTCGTCATCCTTGTGGGGGGCTGCGAACTGCGAGTCTGTCGACACTTTCGAGGGCTGCCGGCGGGTTCAGCGGAGTAGCGCCCTGTGCAGACTCAGATTGCACTTCGCAATTCCTGGGGGAGACCGCGGCCTTGATTTCCTTGCCCGCGGGCCGCCCGCAGACCTGGCGGCGCGCCTGCGAGCGTTTAGCTCCCGAACTGAAGGGTGCAGGAAGGAGATCGCGAAGCTGGCGGGCGAGCTAGGCCTCGCTCGCTTCTTGCACTAGCTATAAGCAGGTCCGGTCCTGTGGAACGCCAGAACGACATCGTGGGGGAAGCGCTGCATGTCCAGCGTGCCGTTGGAACAGATAACGTCACCCATCTTTCTCATCCTGCCTCTTTCGTTGTCGTCCTCTTCTTCCTTCCACCGTTTCCCTGCTGCTGCCGTGCTGGCTTTTCTGCCCCTCCTCCCGTCCTTCTCCTGCCCCTCGTTCCCGCTTCTGTCTCTTCTTCGAGCTTGGAGCCTCACTCCAGGTCCTTCTATCGCTGTCCTGTGGGTCGTAAAACGCGCGTACCCCATGTAGCTCGCACGACACATGGCGGCGCCTGCGCTGTCGCTGTTCATGCAAGTTTGGGCCAACTCCTCTTGCTACTTGATGCAAGTGGGTTGGGTACGCTACAGGGAAATTTATCACCGATCCTCGATCTTCCCCGCCCCGCGACCAGAGCACTCGACAGTATCTTTCCGCGGCGTTTTCCGAGCCGAATCGATCTTTGACGGTGCCGAGGGGACGAAGCCAGTCAAAGACGTCTGCGACCCCCGAGTCTCAGGGGAGAAGGGCGTTCTTCCCTCCCCAGACCCCCGACGGCGTGATTTTTCAGTCCGCAGCCCATGAGCTCCAGACCGCTTCGAGTGGGAAGGTTTTCAGTTCCTGATCCATTGTTTGAGGGTACTGGGGCTCTGAAACGCCCCCGAGAGGCCGAAATCGCAGAGAAACGCCGCGGCTGCAAACAGCAGTCCGCCAGACAAGTTTGGGTCCCCTCCCCAAAAGGGTCGGCTACACGTAACAGCGACCTTTGCGGGAGTGACCTTCGGTGCGCGGTCCACCGTGGGTGCGGGGGGCCAAACACAAACACGAGGGCCGCCACTGTCGCATCGCATGCCACGATCGGCAAGCTGCGCACCAGCGACCACCCTTGCCTAGGGCCGCTCTTGCGTGTAGCCGACGGGGGTCGGCAGTGCGTCCAAGGGGGAAGGTGGAGGCGGCGGGCCTTCTCAGAAGGCTCGGAGGGCCTCTGGCCTTTCGAAGAGCCTTCCGGAGCCGCAGAGGGCTCCTCAGAAGGCCAGGCGGCTTCTGAGAAGCCCCGCCGCCTTCCGAGAAGGCCTGCCCCTCTCATTTCCCCCCTCGGCGCGCCGCCGACGGAGCAAGTCCCTTTGACGCCCAATTTGAAGCCGAATTTGGAAGCCGATGGCCCATGGCTACTGGCTCGGATGGGCCGAGAAAAGTTACTTGCCCTTATCCTGTCTCACTGTAGCCGACGGGAGGGCGTATCTCACCAGAGACAGAAGCACCACTACCACCAGCCAGGGGGGTGGCTGTCCCACCCCCTCGAGCTGGTGGCACCTGGTTCCGGGCATGCCTCCAGAGAGTTCCCGGAAGGAGGTGCCACCAGCTCGAGGGGAGGGAGCGGCCACCCCTCCAGCCGGTGGTAGTGGTGCTCTTGTCCCACCGGAGTATCGCGGCAGGACGCCTGCGCATCCGCCACCGAGCTCGCCGGCCTCTTGCAGAAGCTGGGTGACCGGGTGGGCCAGGCGCCTGGGCCCGGCCCGCCCCCCCGGCCGCTGCTCGCCGAGCGCCCTCGCCGCGGGGCCCCTTTGTCGGGGCTGGACAGAACCCCCAACAGTGACACGTCGATTAGTGAATTGTCCGTTTTCGGCTTTCGAGAGGGCGCCGTGGCCGTTATTTTCCAGGCTTGCGCCCGCCGGGTTTGGGCCCGAGGTCGTTTTCACTAAACCACGTTTTGCTAAAGGGGGTTCTGTCCATCCCCGACTTTGGAGCTTCGCGGCGCGCGCCGGCCGAGCCGACGAAGCCTTTGCCGGGCCGCCCTCGCCGTCGCGAGCCTCCGAGTGGCTCCCGAAGAGCCTCCGACGGGCCTGAGCGGAACGCCAGAGAGACGGATGCCAGCACAACAGAAGACATAACCACACACACAATAAAGACACAAGCACACGCGAAACTCATTGATGTAAGGC